CAAGTTTGCGACTGAGATACGCAAGTCGCTGCATTTCAGTGCGAATCCTCATCGGCCCAGGCTCGACCCTTGGGCGCAGCAGCCATGCGTTCCATGGTGCAAGCCTTCTTGGCTCATCGAGACAAGCCCCTTACTCCATCCCCCTCCGACCGTGCCTGACGAGATACATCCGCTAAGGTGGGTTCAGTGTGGTGGTCCACAGCGAGTTCGGACCACCAGTCGTGCTGCTGTTGCAGGAGAGAGCCACGGTAGACGACCTGAAGGCAGGGCAAACTCGACGGTGTGGATCTGAAGTATGAAGCTCTCCCGAGCAACCAATTCGAGCGTGCAGGTTGCGTGGTCCAACACTACCTGGTTGGCGTGGCCCGCGGAGTGCTTCTGCGTAATCGGTCGCCTTCGAGTCGGGAAGGAGCGTGCATGTCTTGCACGCAACAGACAGACTTCTTGTTCTTTGTTGCCTATGGCGTCAGGACCAGCACCTCCTACCACTTCTCTTCTACCAGAAGACGTGTGTAGTTCATGTGTTTCACAACCGCCGACTAGGACCGGGCTTCACCCCGTCGCGGTTGTGAGGAACAAAAATTGAAGACTTCGGAAGTGAGCAAATCAGCCTAGGGAGCCTCCTGTGTGGATATCCTCTGCATGTCGCATGCCCTCGACGGTGGCTCATCCGCTTTCACGCTAGCGTCGACCTTCGTCCGGTTAACATGTCGGCTCGCAGTCCGGCAGCTGCAACTCGTTCCTTTCGCGAACTCGCTTTGCCCGGGAAGAATCCTCGTCGGCCGAGGCGACACCATGTCCTACGTCCAACTGGTCGGGGTCCAGACAATCCCAGTCTTCGCCCTCGCACAGCTTGCATTCTGAGGTCATCGCCGACGCCTGCGCCATGGCCAACGACAGGCAGAGCCCACAGGAGATCCTCGCCCAGGCCCGGGGCTTGGTCGGTAAACCGTCATCCGGACAAGTGACTTGCATCTGTATAGCGACATGTGATAGGAGGGAGCTAATCTGCATACGTGCCGAGTTGCAGCGGCGCCACGGTGCCCTGGCGCACTGCGCCGCGGCGAAGGCCGAACACACGTCGCGACCGCCGTACGTATGAGCTTGCCATGCACTCGACGATAGCGAATATTGACGATGCCGCAGGAGTTCTTCCGCATGATCCGGGGCGAGGACCTCCTCCGGCGCATCGACTTGATCGAGCGTCGACACGATGCCGAGATGGCACTGGGTGCGGGCCCGGCATTCTTCGCGACTCGCATCTCAGCGATTGGAGCGACCCAACTCTACAGGTCTGCTCTGGCGCGGCGCCCGCAGCCTGCAAGACTGCTGCCGGGCTAAAGGCGAGACTTGCATCAAACGACGAGCTGAATCGCACCGTCCTGCGGCGCAGGTGACATGGACGTCACCGTGTGCGAGCACATCGCAGAGAATCCTCAGGCCAGCCGACCGATCAGGATCACTTCGACTCGTCGATGGCATCGCAAAGCTACTCGCGGAGTCGCTGGATCGATCGCATCCATCTTCCAGGCATCTCCGTGGCTGTCCTACACCTCGGAGTGCCTGGTGGCCCTGTGGTTTTTGGTGGGGAAGGCTCGGGCTTATTCATGCGCTTCGCGTTACCGGACTGGGGGTCTTGCGAGGCCAAGGTCGGCGACATACGGGTCCTAGCCGCCGTGGACCCGACGGAGGTGGCAACCTTCACCCTCGAGGAGGTCGGGTTAGCGTGTTTGCAAGTCAATCACACACGAGTGGACGCCTGCAGGACGCCAACCTCCGCAGCACGGGCGGGCGACGGGACCCGTCAAGACAACAGCTGAACAAGGCCTCGCCCTCCTCCTGTGGAGCGGAGTCTGAGAGAGGAAGCCACACGAACGAAGCCTAGGACCTAGGAGACAGACTATAGACGCAACCTTGAGAGACCACGATCTAACGGCCGGGAATAATACTCGCCCCGCTTTGCGCAGGCTCGCCATTACGCGACGCGGGCCAAAGAACGCCTGCTCGTCGCCGTGCCCTACACTAACCTGGTGACTCACGCGGTGCGAGCCTCGACCTTGACAGCCTCGTGAATGTGGGTTCGTTGCGACGGCCTGCAGGAGATCACAGTCACCAGGCAGGACACGGAGTGGCACGCAGCAAATTTGGCGCCGCCGCCTTGTCCCGCCTCCACACCGTGCTGACCTGTTGGCAGCGTGCTCAGAAGCCTCGGCCAGACCGATCGGTTGCATGGACAGCGACTCGACGAGGCCTGGGCCGCTGCTGCGGAGAGGACCTTCAAGGAAGGGTGAAGCGATGTGGCAGGGGGCTTATCCGGCGTCTCCTTCGTGTCTAGACGAGTTTGGTCCCCAATATCAAACGAGAGCTGCGTTGATTACCTACGCAAGGTGGACGGGATGAACCGCTCGGCAGCGGGCAAGTGCGGCCGCGAGTCGCTGACGATGCTTGGCGGCGTTCCAGAGATGAGGTCACGCACTGGACTGCCAAGCTGGACGATTGCCTAGCTCAAGCCGTAAACCCCAGAGGGCGTGGAGAAGGGCGGCTTCGCTCTACGAGGAGGAAACACAGAGGGATAGCCGACGTGGCTGACTCAATGTATTCACCCCTGCGGAGCTTGAAGATCTTGGCATCATGGCCCCACCGGGCCTGAACGTCACCTTCACCACCTTCCCAAAAGCGGTGGGCAGCGATGTACCTCCATCGATACAAGAAGATGGCCAAAGCTTCTGTCCGATATCCCAGTCAGACGGAGTTTGATGCCCCAGCTGTTGCTGTGCCTCCTATTCATAAACCCCGGGTTGCCTTCCTACACTCCCCAACCCGAAAGCTTCACTATACAAACCCTAAAAGCTCGAAGCTCTTCCACCAGAAGCCCAGAATCCTCAAGCCCTAAGCCCTTTGCGGCCTTAATCCCGAAGCCCTAAACCTTTCAATCCTAAAGCCCGAAGCCCGAAAGTGCTGGCTCCGAGGATCAGTAGTGCTCTCTCCCAAAGTAGCTTTAGCCAGTGTGTCAGGCGGTTTAGGGTTGAGGGCTCAGCGATTTCGACGAATCGTTTACCAACGTCTTGCATGGCTTCTGCGGGGCTTATTGGGGTTCTGAGGGGCTACATGTTTTTAACATAGGAGCCTAAGCACTTCATAGACGCCTTCAAGGCAGAAACCGAACAATATCCACAAGATGGGGCCATGGTAGAATAATATCCGACGTCCTGCTCCGAGCCCACCAGGTAAATGCAGATACACAGCTCGGCCAAATCCGCAAACCTCCGGAGCCCTCTCTGAAGTAGCTCGTCCTCAATTTCCTAATCATTTAGAGCGTCTCAAGACCGCCAAGTGACGTAGCTTAACAGGTACCTAAACCCCCAAGAGTAGGTAAAATAATGGCCGAATAACTATATAATGCTTTTATTCTACATACTTCGAGGGTCCAGGTATGACAGTCCAAGGTCCAGGTGAGACCCTCATGAGTTCGTTGTTGAAAGCAGCGCTCGCATGGTGGGGAATTGCCGGCTTCTATCCCAGGCGCTCGGGATGGGGTTTGGTGGTTCGTTTCGGCTGCAGGGAATGGCGTCTTCGAAAGGCTACTGGTTAGGTGCTCCAGAGAGTTGATTCTGCTTCCGGCTCGCAGTGTGCAGTTGTGTAGGTTCGGGAAGAACTTAACGGTTGCGTTGTCTGTTGATGCCCGAAGTTCCAAGTTGACTTGAGTTGACAAATGTACAAGACGCAGAAATCACAAGCATACCATAACTCCCATAGCATATATATAATATATATATATATATATATATGTGTATATATATATATATATATATTATATTATATTATATTATATTATATTATATTATATTATATTATATTATATTATATTATATTGTATTGTATTGTATTGTATTGTATTATATTATATTATATTATATCATATTATATTATATTATATTATATTATATTATATTATATTATATTATATTATATTATTTTATTTTATATTATATTATATTATATTATATTATATTATATTATATTATATTATATTATATATATATATATATATATGCTACATGGTGACTTTTGAACCCAGGAAGCGCAGGAGGCGCTGCAGCAGCAGTGTCTTTTCCAATTGTCAATGGATACCAGAGCCAGAAAGTTGGCAAACCACGAGTACCCCAGACCTTGAGATTTCCTTAAATCGCAAACCTTACAGAACCACTACAAACCCTGAAACTGGCGCCTGAATCTTCTGAATCAGCCTCTTTAAGAAACTGCCAAAAGTTTAAGATTTTGAAGTCCCCGGAGCGCAGAAGTAGGTCCGAGTGCATGCCCCATCCCCTCATTTGCCTGCGACGGTCCAGCCCAAGGCTCAAGCCCAGGATGCGGAGTTAGGGCTCAAGGGTTGGAGGTTCAGGGTCAATCCCGAATGGCAAAACCCCCAAACAGCCTTATCTTTATCTCTAAAACTTGGTACTAGGTTGTATGGTCCAGGAGCACAGGACTCGGATCTGGGATTTCGGGTTGGTGGATCAACGGCGGTCTAGACCCTGACATGCACATATGTTCGGTGCTGCCAGGGCTTCTCGGACTCCTAAATATTGCAATGAAGGAGACGATCAGTCGCAAAGAAAGCATCGAATTAGATTCTCGGGTCTGGAGAGCCTGGAGATTTTCGCACTTCCCAGGCCCTTCAAATGGTCTAGAAAGTAGAAACATAAAGGCGTGTGATCTACTTGTACCATGTATAAGGGCTAAGATAGGTCTTTTCACAAAGGAATCCACTGCCGCGTAAACCGTAGCCGAAGCCTATGAAGCCTGACTCAACCTTAAACCCTGCACAAGAGAGCCTAAGAGCCGAATTCAACCTTAAACGAAACCCTAAATCCCGCCTATAGTCTCCGTTGTAGTTCCTGTTCTGGTCTGACCAACTTTGTATGTTTAGGATCTTATAAGGTAGCCCAAAATAAGGAGCTACAATGGAGACGATAGGTTTATTCCTGGTTTCCCGGGCCATGACGTCGGTGGACTGCAACCGGGCTGTGAGCGCCCAGGGAAGGGCGAAACGGTGGGAGGCGGCCGTCACTCTGCTTCGAGGGGCCGAGGAGGAGGGCCTGGCAGACGAGACTCGGATCGAAAGGGCTTTAAAATAGGGGCCTAAATCATTACCATCTTTAACCTTTTTGGGGTAGTATAGTCCCTATATAATCCGCATGTAACCAAAATGGTTAGCCTTTAGTTCCCCATGATACCCGACAAGTAGGTTTAAACCAGGGGCCTAAACAATAATCACCAATAGTACTACAGGTTTTGTGGTGTTCCTTTAAAGGGACGATCAGGGTTACTATAAGGGATCCATAAGGGTATTATACATTACCAATACTATTTTAAGGGTTCCTCATTATAGTTTATGGTATACTCATATACACCAAATGCCGTATTCTAATTGTTACGGCCCCTGTCTAACCAAGTCTCCATTGTAACTACTCTTGAGTTTACAACCAATGTGATATTTAGGATGCCATACATGTAAGGTACCCCGACAGGGAAGTACAGTCTCTACATGCGTGAAACTTCTCAACAAGGGTTTACTGTGTAGCTTTCCCACGCTTATATGCCCTGGACGGCTGAAGCCCCAAGCAAAAAATGCACTCTACGTTTTCACAGTGTTTTCGCTTGCGCTCTCAATCGTCTTCTGCAGCCCTGTGGGCTGCTGTTGCAAACCCCAAAACTCCTAAGCCGCACGCCCAGCGAAAATCGCAGCCTTAAACTCACTGAACTCCTACTTAAACCCCCAAAAGTAGGTAAAATAATGGCCCAAAACCTATAAAAGTACATTATTCTACATACTTTTGGGGGTCCGGGTATGAGTCCTAAGCCGGATGCAAGCTTCCTGAGCCCCAGTCCTGCCGACTGGATTCAGCCTCCAAGCCCTAAGCAAACTGAACCCCGCCCAAAGAATCACAGAACTGGATATTTTTCTTGCGCAAGTCAGGTAACTATACATAGTTTTTAATAACTAGTAACCGTCATATCCCCAACCTATACACGTATCTACCCAACCTATACACGTATCTACCCAACCTATACACGTATCTACCCATGCGTCCTATGCTTCCTATGCTTCCGAGGTGGTGACTTACACAGCTGCCCTCAGCGCCTGCGCGTCTGCGAGCCACTGGGGTCGGGCAATCGAGCCTGGGTCTGCCTCAGGTGTATGGGATTTACATAGAGGGGTTACCTTAAGCCGGAATATCCTACCTTTCTAAGGACTTATATAAGGAAATCATAATAAGGAGCCCTAAAAAGGTAGGTTATTCCGGCTTAATAAGGAAGACCTTCAACGAAAAAGGCAAACGCTGGGGGTGGAAGGGCGGAGAGGTGAGGGGTGGATGGGGACGAAGCAGTGACTGGTGGCGTGGAGGGGTGTGGGCTGAAGGTGTGGAGTGGTGGAGAGGTGGCAGGGGTGGAGCCAACGGAGGTAGTGTCAAAAAGCCTTGGGGTATTTGAAAGACCGAGTGTTTAAGATTTTGCCACTCCTATCGAGAGCTCAGGACCTCTGGGTAGAGGTCAAAGCCAACGGCCTGGAGGCTCGCTTGGATCTGAAGGAAAGCTAGCTTTCGTTTCCTGTGAAGTTTACATCACGGTTGGAGTGGTTGTGGTTCCAAGCTGGTGTTAGTAAGCTAGGGCAAAGTCTAGGAGATAAAGAGCAAGATCGTTTGAGTCTGAAGGGATGTCAGGCCTTCTTTCTTGGTGGCTTCTCGGCATTGAGGTTCAGCCCTCGAACCAGCCGTTACGCCGCACTCGGACCCCATCCGGGTGCCCAGCATCCATGTCCCAACCATGATAACGTCCAGATCAGACCCCATCCATGCCCGCAGAGCATCCATGTCCCAACCATGATAACGTCCAGATCAGACCCCATCCATGCGCGCAGAGCATCCATGTCCCAACCATGATAACGTCCAGATCAGACCCCATCCATGCCCACAGAGCATCCATGTCCCAACCATGATAACGTCCAGATCAGACCCCATCCATGCCCGCAGAGCATCCATGTCCCAACCATGATAACGTCCAGATCAGACCCCATCCATGCCCGCAGAGCATCCATGTCCCAACCATGATAACGTCCAGATCAGACCCCATCCATGCCCGCAGAGCATCCATGTCCCAACCATGATAACGTCCAGATCAGACCCCATCCATGCCCGCAGAGCATCCAAAAAAAGAACACCAATTCATAGAGCACAAATTCTGCCAAAATCAGCCTCCCACGAACAAATCACCAAAATCCTCCGACATGCACGAAGTCCCATGCTGGCCAAGCAAATCGACTTCAAGGCTCTTTGAAGCCCTGGAAAGGGCTTAAAGCCGAGGTGGCTACTTTTGAAAAAGTAGCCACCCGGACTTCAGGACGTTTCTCTTTTTGCAACACTGCGAAAGTGCCGCGCCTGCCAGTAAAAGCAGCATTTGCGGGGAGCTCCTACGGCCGTGCCTGCGGCACAACACCCGGTTCGAGCGTTTAGGGTATGCATGTGTGTGTATATATGTAAATGTATGTGCATGTGTGTGTATGTATATATATATATATATGTATCTCTGTTTATGATGAAAGTAGCTTTCGGGCCAACGTCTATACCAGCTTGATTTACAATAGACCCAATAGGCGCATATCCCTGCAGCTAAACCTTGTCAACACCCCAAAACCAAACCCTACATAGAAGAAAGGCCTGAGCTGTGCACCCTTGGGTTTCGGGCTTCGAAAAGCCACGCCAGTAGGCTTCCGCAAGCACCAAAGGTAGCCAAGGAGGTCAGCCCCACCAAACCCTGCAGCTTCAGTTGCTGTGGCTAACGGTTTGAAGTGTAAAACTTCAGGGTTGTGGTTTCGGGTGTAATTTAAAAGCTGAAGGCGATATCTAAAATCCTTGGGGTTCCTGGTGTAAGTATATTATACGATGCCACAAAACCTTGTTCTGATGATTGAGGCCCGATTTGGGAGTGAAGTTATCAAAACAAAATTAACTCCCAACCGTTGATCCCAAGCCGAATCCCCGAAGCTCTCAACCCTCATACCCACCGTTTAGTTAGCCTCAACCCACCATGTTCCCAAAGTCGACTGCCCGAATTTCACGGATCCTTACCCGAGGTCGTTAAGCCAACTCAAGTGCTTAGAATACCGCTTTCGTAAGCTTGATGCTGGAAGTTTCGGCTGTTTTTTGGCCTCCTGCAATGGTGCACGTTGGTCTTAACCCCGAAACCTCACGCCATTGCCCTAAACCCTAAGCCCTAAACCCCTAAACCCTAAACCCTAAAACCCCCCGAATTAAGATGCCCGATAGACTCGATAGACCTAGGAAACCTTGTTGAGTCTTTCACTTGTCAACGCCTCCGTAGCATTTATATTCGCATGGGAGGGTGCATATATATATATATATATATATATATACATGTATGTATATGTATATATATATATATACATATATATATATATATATAGATAGATAGATAGATAGTAATACATATATATACACACACATAGACGTGCAAAAAGCCCTTTGAACAGAAAGACAGCACAGACCCCACAAGGCAGACATCCAGACTTACAACGCTGCGCTTGGCGCCTGCGAGAAATCCTCCGGATGGGAGGAGGGATCGAGAGTTTAGGGTTTATAGGGTTTAGGGTTCGTAAGGTTTATAGAATTTAGGGCTCATAGGGTTCATAGGGTTTAGGGTTTATAAGGTTTATAGGTATACTGGGTTTATAGGGTTTATAGGACTTAAGGCTCGTAAGTTTTGTAGGTTTACAGGGCTTGCAGGGTTTATAGGGCTTACGGAGATTATAGGGTTTAGAGGGTTTAGGGTAAGGTTCAGGGTTTGGTAATTAGGGTTTAGGGGTTTCCTGAACTCCAAAAACCTCGCCTGGACCCCAAGTGTGTAGAAGTGTAGAATAATGGCCTTTAACTCTTGTTGGGCCACTGTATCAAGAAAGCAAAACAAGAGTTCCTAAGCATGTATGTATGTATGTATGTATGTATGTATGTATGTACGTATATATATATATATATATATATATATTGTTATTCAACTCTATACAATTTCAGTTATATATATATATATGTACACATGTAGTTATTTGCTCAGGTTAAGGTTGGAGATAGGGCTTTGGTTCGGGCTCGGGAGACTCGGGGCCGTCAGGATTTTGGGTTCAGGGGCTTTGTGGACGCGTCCAGCTCGCTTAAGATGAAGTTCCCAGACATTCCAAAACCCCTTAATTAAGGAATATACCTTAAATCATATTAAGGATCCTACTATAATTTAAGGTATATTCCTTAATTAAGGGGTTTTGGAAGGTCTGGGTTTAGATAGTCGCGATTAAAGACCGCATGGGGGTCTAGTAAAGGTTAGTTGGGGGTCCGGAATAAACCCTATGAACTTTAACCCATGAAATTTTACATCTTTGTAGAAAACTTCTAAGTCTCCATAGAATCCCACAGCCTGAACTGGCTTCGTGTCTACCAGGAGGCCCTGTCTGTGTTGGCGGAGGCATGCCGAGCGAAGCTGCAGCCGACGGGGGCGACGTATTGCACATGTCTGGGGGCATCTCGGACGATTTAGGGTTTAAGGTTTGCTGTTAGGGCTTGGGGTTTAGGGTGTTGGGTCCTGTCTTGCACAAGTGTTTGCAAAGCTGAAGCCTTATCCCATCGTTTATCCAGGCGATATTGTGCCCAACTCGGGCGAACGCGATCCCAAAGACACCAAGACGCGATACCTTCAATCCCAAAAACCCCTGCTCAATCTCAGGACCTTAAGACCATCACCCTGAAAACCCACTGAACAGCAACTACCAGCTAAGCATAAGCTGGTGTGCTGGGAGTTCCCTAGTTGCTTAGCCTTTCTCAACTCTTTCTGCTGCACCCCGAAACCCTAGGCCCTAGACCCCCGGAACTTTCAAGCACCTGAAGCCATCTTTACCGCGAAACCTTATAAGCTACCCTCACAGAGCACAAGGGTCCCTTTGGTCTTGAAGGTCTAGCGTTCGGGATGAGGCGGTTTCGAGCCTCTCAGGCGTGTGGTAAGGCATCTCAATGGCAACTCGCCTTTGCCCTCCTGGGGGAGGCGGAGTGTGCCGAGAACAAACGGGAGGCCCAGGGAGTCGCAAACTGGGACTTCTACATTTAGGTGCCTTCCTTAAGTTATAGCAGGAATCCTTCAGAAACGACCCACAATTACGGTATATGTAGCCTGATCGTTTAGAGCCCTAAACCCTAAGCTGCCCCTAGTCCTAAACCTGCAGGGGGATGTGCGGATCTCCAATGCAGCTTTGAGTGCCTGCGATCGGGCGTCCGAGTGGGCGCAGGGCCTCGAGCTCTTCGGAGAGGCAGGGTTCAGGGTTTAGGGTTCAGGGGTTTAGGGTTCGGTGTTGGGGGGATTACGGTTTATAGGGCTCAAGGGCAAAATGGCTGTGGGGTTTAGGACTTTGGGTTTGAACTGCTTAGTTCAGGTTTAAAATGTCCTTAAGAGGGATCCTTCAAGCACATTGGCGGTACTGTAGATTTTAAGTTTTGCTCCTAAGCACACAAAACCCTAAGCCCTAAGCACCCTGCACCCTAAACCCTAAGTGCCCTAAACCCCTAACCCTACAGCCGAAACCCTGATGTTGAAGCCTGGTCTGCTCAGGTTCGGCAGAAGCAAGTGCAGCCCAGTGTTGTCACCTTCAGCACCTTGATCAGTGCCTGTGGCCGGGGTGGTGAATGGCAGCTTGCTCTGTGCCTGCTCGAGGACGCTTTGAACAGCAAGCTGCGGATCAACACCATCACCATGAATTCAGCGCCTCGGAGCTATACGGGAAGTTGACCAGCACGACATCCGAGCTTTGCCAATTAAGCCGGAATAATGAGGTAGCAGCGAGCACCTCTATACAGGACCCCTTAATTCAAAGAGGAAGCAAAAGAGCCTTGTTGATGTGAACAGCTTCTTGCTGCGTCTGCGTAGCATCAAGTCGACCGATTTCGTCTTGGTGGCGTTGCCTTAAAGTTCGGTGTTTCTGTCAGAGGCTGCGGACTTGTGTCAGGAACAGCACGAAATGTGAGGATAGCGCAGGCATGAGTGGTGCATCTCCCATGGATCCTTCAGTTCTTTTGAGCACCGCCGAGGCTATCAGTGCATGTGAGAAGGCTGCCCAGTGGCAGTCGGCCCTGCTTCTTTTAGGGGCGCTTGGTGCGTGGCAGCTTGAAGCCACGGTCGTTTCATGGAGTGCAGCTGTCAGTGCCTGCGAGAAAGCAGGGCAGTGGCAGGCACGGTCGGGAAGGACGAAGATCGGGGTCAAACTTGATCTAAATAATGTCGTCGTCCATGTCTCATGCCTAGGTGGTGAGGAATGTAGTTTTGAAATCAAACTGTCATTCGGGTTCCGGCAGTTGAGATGTGAGGGTGTAGTGGTTGACCACTTCTGACTCCGTGCTTTAGGATATGGGGTCCAGTCACTAGTCTCCGGGGCGAGCTCAGAAAATGCTTACAGGTATATCCGTCAATTTGTCCAGTTCTCTTCTTTGATTCTGGGGGCAAGGATGCAGGGGTGTTTGTTTTTCTATAAGTCTGCAACCCCCAAGCACTGAAGCAACGAAGGCTGCCCTGGGTTTGCTTCAACAAGCAAGATCCAGCCATGCGCACCTCGTTCATAGAAGAGTTTTGGTCTCTATGTGGGTGGTTGTCAAAATTATGGCCCCTTTTGGGGGTACCCTAAATATGAGGTGCCGTATTATAATAAGGACCCAAAAAGGGACCATAATTTTGAACCACCCATGTGTAGAGTTGGGCACCATCTGAGTCTCGTATCCACTCTTTTAGGGTTGATAGTGGGTTAAAGGAGTAGCTTTTGTGCGTGAGTGTCGCGATTGAGGGTTTCAGGTTTTAGGGTTTCAGTTTTGAGGTGTTGGATTTCAGTGTTGCCGCGAAGGTATGGGATACACGGGCCTTTGCTGTTTGGTCCTTGCCAGGTATCCGAATGCAATCACCTACAACGCGGCCATCAGCGCCTGTGCCGCAGGAGGCTGGTGGCAGAAGTCCTTGATGCTGCTGGAAGACCTTACAGATCATATGCTGCAGCCCACGGAGGTCACCTACGCTGCAGTGATCAGTGCCTGTGAGGTTTCTGCTGAATGGCATCTGGCTCTGAGCCTCTTGCAGAAGATGGCAGTTCAGCAGCTTTCCCCGAGCACCGTGGCCTTCAATGCAGCTATCAGCACTTGCACCCGGGCGGCTGAATGGCAACAAGCCTTGCAGCTGCTGACTCTCATAGAAGAGCGGCAGCTGCGCCCGGATGTGACCAGTTCCTTGGTCTAGACTTATGGGAGTTCAGGCTTAGAAAGAGAAGCTTGGCCGTAAATCCACTGCCGAAGCATATAGTAGGGAGGCACTACCTCTCTACCGAAACTTGGGATTAGAAGGAAGCCTGAGATTCTGAAGCTTGCCGTGACTAGTTCGATGAGCTTCCCATTGTTTGCTTGTAGCTGCAATCGCAAGCCTCTGCTTTAGTCCTTGAATATCCGTACGGCTCTAGCGAAATATGAAGAACTCCTGAGAAGAACTGCTATACATTTTGTTCTGAGGGATCCGGTGAGTCCTGAAACCTAAGATCCTAGACCTGGATCAATACGGCCGTTTTTTGGTGAACGCTTGTCCCTACAGAGCGCTACAACACGGTTTGGGGTTTAGGGCTGCTTAAACTTGCCCAGAGGATACACTATACTCTAATGAAAATAAGGACCCCCCCCCTCCAAATTACTAAACCCCTATAAACCCCTACAATACCTCTTATAGTAATCCTTACAGACCCCTTTAAAAGGAGCCCTTAAAGGGCCCTGTGGTAATTATTAGGGCCCCTATGTTACCCCGAGGCTACAATGCCGCCATGAGCGCCTGTGAGCGGGTGCTCGATTGGACTGGAGCTCTGGCTCTGCTAGGCGAGAACTGGGTGGTTTTGGGTTTGGGGTTTACCTGTAGCCGAAAAGACCTACCATTTTAAGTAACTATATATAGAAACCATAATAAGGAATCCTAAGATGGTAGGTCTTTTCGGCTACAGGTAGGGTTTAGGGTTCAGGGTTGAGGGTTTGTAGGGTTCAGGGATTTTGCACAGGGTTTAGGGTTTAGGGTTTAGGATTCAGGGTTTGGGGCTTACGGTGGCCCTAGTAGGGGAGAACTGGGCCGACAAAAACCAAGCACGAGGAATCTGCTTATCGAATCGACTGTGATTTACAGAGACAGGTGAGCTGTGCAGGCATCCACAAACCCACCACCCCTAATACTGTACATTTCGGTATCTATCTGTCCAAATCGTTTTCGCAATCAGCACGGAAGTGAGAATGAGTGAAATAGCTGGTCATGTAGCTGTATAGCTGATTGGTTGAGACTGTCAGCTCTACTAATCTATTGCATGTACGCCTTACGAAGTAGAACTTCATTGTGAACATCGCGAACAACTTGTTTTCGATTTAACTTTGAGCTCCCAAGCACAAACCTTCACAGTGAAATAGCTGGTCATGTAGCTGTATAGCTGATTGGTTGAGACTGTCAGCTCTACTAATCTATTGCATGTACGCCTTACAAAGTAGAACTTCATTGTGGACATCGAGAACAACTTGTTTTCGATTTAACTTTGAGCTCCCAAGCGCAAACCTTCACAGCCCCACCAGGAGACCTCGATGCACGGTCCCTGCAAGCCACAGTGATCAGTGTGGGAGCCTGTATCAGCGCCTGTGAGAAGGCCACTGTGTGGCGACAGCCGGGTGGGAACCCTAAAGCCCTACGCCCCATACAGCCTCATAGCCCATAAAGCAGAGACCTAAACCATCCTGTACGGGGTGATAATGGGACCTATTGCACTGACGGGGTGTACATGATTAGGAAAACGCAAAAGATAGGCTTGAGGGCATCTGAAAGCCAGCCTGAAACCCAGACCCCAAGCCCACCCGCTTAGTGGTGCAGAAACTCTGTCATTCCAGAGACCCGCTGCAAGGTTTCCCAGGAGATGAAATTTGGGCTCGTGAGTTTAGGTTTGCCTTGCATCCTAAATCAAACACAAACCTTGAAATTCAAAACTCTGACCTACTTTAAGTGTAAGTTCCATATTAAGGTTCAGAATCAGAACCTACAAAAAGTAGGGTTTGGTAGGTTCAGGTATACAGCTAAAGCGCTTAAGCCCAGCCTTTAAGGCTTAGAGCCGGACAGCCCAAAGCCCAAACCCTAAGCCCCATATGGCTAGTTCTCTAAACCGTCCATATGCAAGCTCACGGGACCAGGCAGGACAGTGGTCTTCTGCCCTCTCTTTGCTGGACTCCTTGCCGGCGCGAAGGCAGTATCGGAGATAGAAGGGGTTAAAGGTCTCCTAGAGTAGCCAGTGCATGTGTGCTCTCAGAGTTTACAGTTTTGGGTATCGTAGCCCCATACCATACGAAATAGTAGGTCATAACGTCATGCTTAAGAAGATGGTCCGACCCGCAAGACGGCATTCAATCCCCGTGTAGGGTTGGCTGTAGGGTTTAGGTCTTTAGTGGTCTATGTTTTAGGTTTGAGTGTGTTGCTCCTGGCAGTCGGCACGATTTACGGTCGGTCTAGTGCTCCAGGGTGTTCGTCCGACCATTTGTTCTTAGTCTAAGGTGTCCATGTTGAAGGCACCACATGGAACCGTATACTAGTAAATCCTAAATCACCCAACATGCCTTTAACAAGCTAAGAGCCCGGTACAGCCGGTACAGGAGCCGCTTAGAGATACATGGATCCCTAGAGCACATGAGCAGGCAAGTCTTCCTCAGCATTATAAGCTCATGTGGGTTTCAAGCAGAAGCTTGTCAGAAGTCTAAACGATTTGTGCAGCTTTTGGTGACTTTGCAAACAACCCCCCCCCCCTCCCCACACGCAGACAAACCCTTAACCGCATAGCGTAAACCCGTAAAACTCTTGATGGACGTGCTTCATCGCGATCGCCATGATTCCCGTCAAAGCTTCTTCACTTGGGACAGCAATAGATAGAATCACTACCTGAATGACCACAAGCGGTGAGAGACAGGATATTGCCGGTGCGCAAGATGTCGATTAACGTGGAAGTGGGACTGATCAGTGGGCGGAAAGCCATTGTGCAAGCAGCCTTGGATGAGACGGCGGGAACATTGAAACGACGGGCACAAGTTGCACTCGGGGTGGGGACAGGGCGGCTCCTGGACTCATCTGGAAGCGTCGTGGAAGGATCTGTGCCGATCAAGAAAGCCAGGGTGCAGAATGGTGACTCGCTGACCTTGTTGTGCACTAGCAGGGTTCAAATTCAAGCCACTGCTGGCGCATTCGCTGCCATTCTTGGCGATGGATCGCTTGTGACCTGGGGTGATGCTCTATGGTGGCGACTGCAGCACTGTGCAGGCTCAGCTGAAGAACGTGCAGCAGATTCAAGTCTCTAACAGCGCTTTTGCAGCCATTCTGGACGATGGATCCGTCGTGACGTGGGGTCTTGCTGGTTTTGGTGGTGACAGCAGTGCTGTGCAAGATCAGCTGAAGAATGTGCAGCAGATCCAAGCCTCTTACGGCGCTTTTGCGGCCATTCTTGCAGATGGATCCGTCGTGACCTGGGGTCTTGCTGGCTATGGTGCCGACAGCGGCGCTGTGCAGACTCAGTTGAAGACTGTGCAGCAGATTCAATCCTCTGGTTCTGCTTTTGCTGCCATTCTTGGCGATGGATCCGTCGTCACCTGGGGTGATGCTGAGGATGGTGCCGACAGCAGCACTGTGCAGGGTCAGCTGAAGAATGTGCAGCAGATCCAAGCCTCTTACGGCGCTTTTGCGGCCATTCTTGGTGATGGATCCGTCGTGACCTGGGGTCTTGCTGGCTATGGTGCCGACAGCGGCGCTGTGCAGACTCAGTTGAAGACTGTGCAGCAGATTCAATCCTCTGGTTCTGCTTTTGCTGCCATTCTTGGCGATGGATCCGTCGTCACCTGGGGTGATGCTGCGTATGGTGCCGACAGCAGCACTGTGCAGGGTCAGCTGAAGAATGTGCAGCAGATCCAAGCCTCTTACGGCGCTTTTGCGGCCATTCTTGGTGATGGATCCGTCGTCACCTGGGGTGATGCTGATCATGGTGCCGACAGCAGCACTGTGCAGAGTCAGCTCAAGAGTGTGCAGCAGATCCAAGCCTCTAAGCGTGCTTTTGCCGCCATGCTTGACGATGGATCCGTCGTGACGTGGGGTCATCCTGCGTATGGTGCCGACAGCAGCACTGTGCAGACTCAGCTCAAGAATGTGCAGCAGATCCAAGCCTCTCAGCGCGCATTTGCTGCCATTCTGAAAGACTGGTCCGTCGTGACCTGGGGTGATGCTGAGCTCGGTGGTGACAGTACTTCTGTTCAGGACCAGCTCAGGAACAGATAGCAACTCTCTCCCATACCTCAGCTACTGCGGTAGGAGGGCTGCAGTGAAGGATTCTTCGGCTTGCGCTTTAGACTCTACAACCCTAAGGACCCTTCGGGGTGTAAGGGGGAGGGGGGTAGGGGGCCTTATGACCTAGAATAAGGACTTAATGAGGCCTATTTGAGTTTCATATTCCTTCTTCTTGATGCTTGGGGCTTGGAGCGATGCATTTCAATAGCCAGTAGAGATTTCCTGATCTTCGTGCCGGGAAGCTCCCGCATGTTCCTACTTCCTTCATGCCAGAAGCCTGCACAGTCTGCATACCTCGGCCTCTGCCTACCGGCTGTCTGTAGAGCCCACACTGTGGATGCAGAACAGGTGTAGCAGTACTGGTGTTTGAGGACCTGTTAAAGAACTAAAGAACTCCTCCCAATATCCTGCAACCTACAGTCTAAAGCCCTAACCCATGAGAAATTCAAGCCTTAGAACTAGCCCTTATAAACCCTAAATCCTAAATCTTAAACCCTAGACCCTTGCCCCTAAACCTGAAACCCTAAATCTTAAACCCTAAACCCTTAAACCCCTAGAATCCGCTGCTTTGAGTTCCCGAGCCGTGGTCCCAGGCTCTCGGCCAACACCATCACCCTGAATCCGGTGCTCTTTTCAGCAGCTGTTACTGTTTGTTCTTTGTGGGAACTACCCATAGGCCCCATAGTAGTTCCTTTTTGGGGATTCATGTTTAGAGTTCTAGAAGGTAATCCCAAAAAGGAACTACTTTGGGGCCTGCGTGTACTCTTGGTTTAGTGCAACCTCCTCGATGTTACGGGGGCATTTCCGCGCCCACAAATTCAGGACGGCATGCAATTTGTCAATGCTGGACCCATGCCGTTGCCGTGAAGTTGATCTTCTTATGTTTGCAACCTTCAAAAGCAACCCCTCCCTCGGCGAGAGTATCCCAACAAAAATGCACGGAAAAATGCACGGGGTGTGTTTAGGCTCGTTGCATCTACATAGCTCTGAACGACACTCAACTCTCCTAGCACTGTGAGCCCAGAGTCCCCCCAAAACTCGCTAGCCCGGATCCCAGTTATTTTATCCCAAATATTTGACACTCCGAAATCGGCTGCATCTTGAAACCCCATCTTGAAACCCCTGTATGGGTAGTTCTCTACATGAGGGTCCATTCAAAGGTCCTTTTCACAAGGGTGCCGTCCTAATTTTCGAAGACCTACAAATGGGACCCTAAACTTGAACTGCCCATACCTCCAAGTACCCAATAATCATATACTCTCCAAAATCCTAACCTACATAATTGCTATCCTAAAACCGAGGACCTAATTATTGGGTCCTTTGGACCCTTGGGGATATACGCCTTAGGTACGGCCCCCACTCAGTAATAGTTGAATTATAATCATAATATTGATATAGTAGGACCTTAATAGTAGCCCTATTATAGACTCTTGCTGTACGGGGGCCGTACCTAATATACGCCCCTCAAGGAATGCTGCATTGTCGGCCTGTGCCAGCGCGGCCAAGTGGTTCAAGGCTCTGGTGCTTCTGCGCTGGGGTGCGGCGTCGGCAGTCGAGCGACTGGTCTCAGAGAGAGAGAACACTTGGGGGGTTCTTTCAAGGGTTCTATGAGGTTTACTATAAGGGTATTTACAAGAGTTCTATCATCTAATTATCTAATTAAGGAAGTCTTGTGGACTTTTTTTTTTTTAGGATTTTTGGTAGCCGGGCTGTCATTTTGAATTGTGTGTTGGGCGGTAAGTTTGAAGGTTTCAGGTTTATTCGCTGGCTTCAGGGTTGGAGGAGCTCCGTTTCTATAGTATCCTGAAGATTTTCGTGATTTTTTGACATAAAACCTAAGAGAATATTTAACATGGCATTTTGATTATGGTTCTAAGGGGGTTATTGGTTTTCGGGAGATTAGCCGTCTAGTCTTCTCCACCAGATGGGGCAGCATAAATTCGATCGTATTGGTGAGCTACTGCAGGGGTCTTGAGGACATTTGCAAGTGTGCATTTGGTGTGTTATTATGGCGCGGAGTTTCGGGAAGTGTGGCCTCACTCAACGGGGAAAAGGAGGGATTTTTAATGGGGATCCCTACCCTATAATGGGCGATATAATGGGTATATAATAGCTATATTAAGGGTATATACCTAGGGTCCTTATGAAGGGTCCCTCCTTTTGCCCTTGGACCTTGGAACATCATGAATCCGGGGGCCTCGCCTGTGCCAGGGAATGAACGATAGCTTAACTTTCAGCCTGCGGCTGTAGGCCTCAAAGCCCTGAGCACTCGAAAGGCCGAAGGCTGGAATTCCTAATTTAGGGGCCTTAAGACTTAGCTATTCTATTTTTGGGGGTTCCTTATTATATACATTATAGTAGAATATATCCCAAAACCTTCTTCTGATGATCAAGGCCCCTGTGTTT